GACGTCCTCGCCCAAAGGACCTTCCGGCTCCTGGATGAGAACATGGACCGGCTCATTGAGTTCAAGGGGCTCGCCAGCTGCTTAGGTATCAGCTCACCCGCAGGGTGGAAGGTGGGCAGAGCAGGGGGTGGTGCGTGCGAGAGATGTGAATGTTAAAGTGCTGTATGACTGGCATAAGAGGATGGTTTTCTAGGCCTTGTCATTATCCTAATCAGTGACCTTTACTGATTTTTTAGGTTCCAATCACCCAAAGTCAATTTGATTTAAAAGACAGCCCTAAGGACGTGACTGAATCTTGTACTAAAAATCTGGTATCTCAGACAATAGTAACTTTATTTAAAATCTTGTACGAATTAAAATTATACGTACGTCTATATGGAATACTGGGAAATCCTCTCTGCTTGCTGCTGTCAGTATACCTTTGAAATCTCAGTGTATCTCTTTGTAGCCACTTCTTAAAAACTTAAACACAGCTGACTGCTGCTTGCCTTACATATTGACTTCAAGCAGAAGAACAAAAAATCTGGCCAGCAGGGACCGAGGGCTGTGCTTGGTTGGGTTGGTCTTGAGGCCACCAGCTGTCCTAATGAGATGAGGCTGCCTGTCCCAAAATCTGGCTGAAGAGAAAGTGCCATATCTCAACTGTTGCCTGATTGTAAGCAGAAAAAACTGAATCAACATTCAAAGCTTCAGTAAAAATTTGTGATTTTTTTTTTCTTGCCACTTAAGACTTTTAGAATTTTTTATGTGAACCTTAAGGCACTCGGTATTATATCGTTACTTGATTTTGATTCTTAGACGGATACAACTTTAAATTAAAAAAGTTCTTCACAGTGTTTCAGTGCATTTGAAAGTTTAGAAACTTATTTTTCGTGGTCATTGAAAGTGTGAATTATATTACACCTTAAATAGTTATCTCCTTTGGGCTTACTCTGTAGAACAGCAGTAAGAGCTGAAGGGGAGAAATACTAAGAGTATCATGTCCCCAAAGTTTTCTGTCTCTGCCCTCTCACATTCCTGTTACTCTGTGGCAGCACACAGCCTTTGCTAGATTCCCTGCCATCCTCCTTGATATTTTAAACAATGCTGAAGCCCCATAGGGTTCGGTACTCCCAATCTACTTAACAAGAACAAAGACCAAACAGATGGCTGTCACCTGCTGTTCCTCATTGACAGGCACAACTTAAAGTAATACACTGGCCGTATGTTTATTGTCCATGTAAACAATTATCCTTTGTGCACAGAGAGATGCCTGATTTATTTTAAACTGTGGAAGTAAGTGCTCTGGTTCACTTCCTTCTTTTTTTGCCTTGCAGATGTTATGTATAATGGAGAAATGAGTGAAAAGATAAAGTTGCTATATAAGCTGCATATCCCACCGGGTAAGAAATCTGAAAGGGGATGAAGACCTCAGTTTCCAAAAAAATCTCTTGCTTTTGGGAAAAAGCTGCTTAATGAAAATCTCAATCTTGCTTCCTTCCAACTGGGAGTGTATAGGATGTACATTTGTAGTTACACTCACCACAGTTTACAAATTACTGATGAAATCGATAGATTACAATGTCCAAGATCACACAGTAGAGATCTCTGAATGCAGCATTCAGAGATCTTTTGCAGCCAATTACATGGTTACTTCTAGACAAAATACGAACTAACATTTTTGAATGGCTTGTACTCCATGTACAGTAGAGATCTCCTTATTCTTATCTTGATCCAGTTTTCATCAGGTGACAAAATTCTGTGGTAGGTCCTCTGTTCAGAGATTTTAATTAAATATGCCATTCTTGGCAAACTTCAAACTGCAGAACCAGTCTTGCTTACAGTAACATAATTTTACAGTATGATTTAATTAAGTACTTAAAAGTATTTAAAAACGTATTTGCCCCATTATTTTGCTTTCTTCAAATATGTAAGTTCTAGAAACATAAATAACCATCATGCAGAATTCAAAGGATTACATTTGTCACTTCTTTTGGACAGCTCTCACAGAAAATGAGCGAGACAGCCAGTCACCATTAAAGAATCCTTTGCTGTCAACATCAAGACCACTAGTGATTGGAAAATCAAATGGTATGTCCAAAATGGTTCTCTAATGAGTGTGCATATGAGATAACCCACTTGTGATCCCTACCATGTTATCTCTGCTCTCTGGGGTTTATTTTGAAATGTAAATTTACTCCACTGACTTGAAAATTAATTCTCCTTTTTATGTCTGCTCCAAAAAAAGGTGATGCAGTAGATTACCAGAAGCAGTTGAAGCAGATGCTGAAGGATCTAGCCAAAGAAAAAGATACTAAAACTGAAAAAGAATTGCCAAAAATGAGCCAGGTACGTACCTTAGAGATTGTAGTCTGTTTTTAAGTAAGGGTATTCAAAATGCAGTGACTGAATACAAGTTTGCCTCTTTCTGAGAAAGTGTGACTTCAGCCTGTACTTGGATTCAGTCATCAAGGATTGGGGTCCTTTGATCCAAGGAGCATGTGTTTAAAACCTCTCAGCTACCTTTTTAGCAGCTCCCTCTACTCAGTCTGTCTGATGAATAGAATTTCAGATTCACCCCCACCTGCAGAAGAACAGGCAAGCAAACAGCTTTATGCAGGCTGGAAAAAGCCCTCCTCTTGAGCCCAAGAATTCCTGAGAATGCATGTTGCTGTTGTTGTGTTCCCATACCTCCTCTGCACCAAACCACTGACTTCTTAGTCCCTCACCAACTGGGACTTGCCCTGTCATAGCCAAAACACTGACTAAAACTCTATGAAGTAAAACAGCAGAAGGCTGTTGTCACCTTACCATCTCCTCCCTAAAGCCAGTGGCTTTCTATTATGTTGCTGGCATAAGGAGATCTACTGGAGGGAAAAGGGTCCCATATTAGTAAAACAAACTGGTGTTTGTACATAAAGTTTGAAATGGGTGGCATGTACCTCACCTGTCAGCTCAGCAGGGACACATGAGCTCTCCTAAAGGCATCCCACTGAGGGCTCATTTCAGAACAGGATATGGAAACATCCTCTCTAGCCTGATAATCACCTGTGATGGGTAAGCGAGGGAGGGAAAGGGGATGGGCAGGGAAGATGTCTGAATTTTACTGGCAGAAGAAAAAGATCTGGGGAAAGATGGGAGAGAAACAGAAAGGAGGTTGCTTGCAGGCCTGTGGGTGGCAACTTTGGTTGTAACTCACTCTGCGTAACAGCCACCAGTAAGGGCTTATCCCTTGCCTTGTATCTCACTTGCCCTCTGGCCACCTGGCAGGTCCCGATCTCCTACATCAAGGCATCAAAATACTTCACTGCTCTGTTCCCTCTTTGATTTCAGCACAAGGATTCCTAGCACGACTGGGGGTTGAAATCCCCTCACTAGTATTTTTTAAAAGCAGGCAGAAGTTATAAATGAGCATATAAATGTACACAGCATTCTGCCTGCCTTTGCAGTACCATGCCCTCACCTGACCCCTGCAGTGATCCATAACATGGTCTTTCAGTACTTTGATGTTGGTTTTTCATCCTTTACAGAGGGAGTTCATTCAGTTCTGCAAAACGTTGTACAGCATGTTTCATGACGATCCAGAGGAGAATGATTTGTATCAAGCCATTGCCACTGTGACCACACTGTTACTTCAGATTGGAGAAGTAGGACAAAGAAGCATCAGCCTGGGGAGTGGATCAGACGAGTTCACTGAGGACTTACAGCCCGAGGCCTCTGCTTCAGACCAGGATGCTGTTTTTACTGACACTGTGAAGACCCCTCACAAAGACTCTCAACCTTCACCTGTGACTGAAGGGGACTGGACTGTCTCTTTTGAACATATTTTAGCATCCCTCCTGACTGAACAATCATTAGTTAACTTCTTTGAAAAACCCTTAGAACTGAAACCAAAACTTGAGAATGCAAAGCTAAATCAATATAGTCTCAAAACAAATGGAGTGAGCTGCTCACCACGGAATGAACATACAAAACCAAACATGCAGTAGCAGCAAACATGTAAAAAATGAAATGCACTGAAATTATGCCAAAGCACATACTGTAAAAGGCTTTCAGTTAGCAGTGGACTTCTGATAAATAATTTGTTGGTCTGTGGTTTTCAGTTTAAGAGCTTTAAAAGCTAAAGGGTGTGTGTAGGTTTGTTTTGTGCCATTGATTTATGATGTTCTTGTTTTGAATGTAAAAGGAAACATCTGTCTAGAGTGTGAAGACACTGAAGCCCTCTTCCGCACTGGGAGACCAGAGGCTGGCTCCAGTTGTCCTTTTTTTTTTTTTTAACAGGGGAAAACACTTCTCATCTGCAGTCCGCAGTTTGGGTTGCCTTTTTTTTGCACTAATACTGAAAACTGTTTCAATGCTGGTAATTGAAACTATTTTAATATATTTGATTGTATTCCAATTTGTATGTCTTGCTCAAATGTTAAATGTACATGGACTGTGCTTCTGATGTTGGTCTGTAAAAACATGCACTTTTCAATAAACCTTTTTTGTACCAGACTGGCATTGACAGTATTTATTGATTTATGGGAGGTAAGTACTTTTAATCCCTAATTCATTGTGCAAATTCTCTGAGCTAGGATGATCACAGTTATTTCACTAGTCAGAAACCTGTTTCCATGTAGCACACAGAGCAGCTTTGGGAGAAGCTACTGAGTTTGCCTACAAAGCCAGCAGGGGACTAAATACAGGGAACTCACATCATCCCCAAGAGATTATATATATGAAATATAGGAGCCATCAGTTTTGTTTGGGTTTTTCTTGTGTTTTTTAAACAAACTTGGTCTTAAGAGCCACTACACAGGTATTTTAGTTTTACTCCACCAGAAACAGAACAAAAGCACTAGGACTTTGCCACCCACAAAGAACATTCACATCTTCTCCTTATTCCACTTACATGTAACAGAAGTCTAGAGTATCTTCAATTAAGCAAAATACATTTTAAGATGTTGGTACTTGTTCAACTCAATGTTTCACAGTTGAGAGCTTGAAGAGACTGGACAATAAAAACAACAATTTAGGAATAAACTTTCTTTTTATCCTTTTATTGTAATGAAAATCAGATTAATTTTCATCCACATTGACTGTCTGTAGACCTGCAAAACAAGAAACTGTGTCACCACCTGTTACTAGGATGGTTCCCTAAAGTATATGGAAGTCTTCACAAGAAAATGTGAAGCTAGTTTGCTGATCTACTTCTGGAAGAGCAAACTACATAGGCAAGTATGATACAACATGAAGTTGTTTTTTCTTTTATATGCAGAATTGATTTTTCTCAGATGACAAGCAGAAAGGGCTCAACCTGTCTGAGCTTTTGACATCAGAGGATGGGCTTTATAAGGGAAAACAAACCTTAAAACTGCACTAACAACTGTGGCCAGTGTTTCTTGATTTCTCAAAATTTACATTACTATTTCACAAAAATCTGTATTTATTTCTAATGCAGAACAGGCAAGCTAGCAGCTCTGGTTTCTACAGCAGAGGTAGTTTAAGTCAGCAGTTTGACCCTTCAACATGCTTTTCACCTGAAGTGTGCACTGCAGGAGAAGCTGTCCTGCTTTGCTACTCATGCAGGAGAAACATGGTGTGAGAGATGGTGTGCAACCTTCCTCACCTTTGAATGTGGTGACTGGTACGTAGGTAACCAGAGTGTACAGTTTGTTTGGTGAATCTTCATCCTCATTGCGCTTTCTGGACAAACGTACACGGATACGGTAAGGAACGTTCCTAAAATGAAGACGACAGATTGATTTGTAGTAAACTATGTACTGAAACCTCTGACTTCATTGAAAAGTTCTTTGTTCCATAATTGCTACCCTCTCCCTCCCTCCCAAATTCTTAAGCTCTGCCTATCTGTGCAAAGACATGATGAGTCAGTTCTGTTTCTATCTCGCCCTCACGGCAAGAGGAAAATCCTGTACTTTCAAGAGATTGTACTGTTTGCCTTAGAAGAGGTTTTTAGGTTGTTTTTTTTTGTTTGTTTAGTTTTAATAAATTGAGCAGGTAAGATTGAAGTGAGCCTCAAATAAGATGAATCCATAATCCAGTATGTGCCTTAAGTCAGAAGGGCATCATCTGTCCATTACTGATCCAGGAAATTGTCACTTCATGATCAACTGTGAAGCTGACCACGGAGTGAACATGATCATCATGTGAAGATGAACACCATGAGCATGATCAGCAAGCAGCTGTCACTAACAAGCATTTCTTACTACAATAGAAAATGGTGAGGAAAAACCCAACAATCTGCTCCGAAAGCCCAAGGCCTCTGTCCAGAGCAGTACTGCCCAACCCGTATGCCCGAAGTCGTGTGGAAATTCTAGTGAGCACATGACCTGAAACAAGATCTTACTTAGGGGCACATAACTGATCAACCTTTCTTCCTCACTAAGCCCCTGGAATCACAACTAAATTACACAGAAGATTTTGTTTGTAAAAGTGAAGTCACAGTGTAGCATCCTCCCCTAATAATGCCCAAAATATGTTGCTGAGGGAAGGCAAAAACTTTTTCTCCACAGAGTTTTTCATATAAACTCTACCTCAGATGAACTCAAGATTCTGGGAAACTCCTGATTAGAGCACTTTGATCCACAGGATCAAAGGAACTTCCTCCTTGCTGTACCTTCTCAAGAACATACTTATTACACTGGATGGACACAGTAAGCAAGACACAGGAACTTGCTTTGCTTTACTCCCTTCCTGACACAAGTCGAAAGCATTTTTCATACTTTATGGAGATCACTCACTATCATACAAGCTGGCATGGGTGATTTTAACCCCTCCTGATCCTTCCAGAGGATGACATTTTACTTTGCATACATTATGTATTCTAACCAGTAAAAACTGCAACCTCAAACTGGGAAGACAGATGTAATGACTCCTTGCTCCACAGACCACACTGATACCAGTTAATATAATGAAGTCTTGGTCAGTAGCCTCACTACAAACCTCTGAAGTTATGCTGTCTCCTGCTTCCAGTGCTACTTTTTCATTGGTATGAACTGGAAAACTTAACAGAAAAGACAGAAAACCCCTGCCCATAAGACCCAATAACTTGGAGTTTGCCTAAGCTTTGCTACAAATACGCTGGGACAACTGAACACAATACAGAGCTGACAGAAAATTAGCTTGGTGTGTACGCTGTAAGAAAAAAACGCATCTGCAAAGAAAATGCAAGAAGCATACGTGTCTACCCCTCCAAGTCCTTCCACACCCAGCAAGGAAAGCTGCAGAAACCCACCTTATTCCTTTAGCCCAGACTGCTTTGTTCAATCTGGTGTCAATGCGAACGTCAGGAGTACCCATCTCCTTCATCGCAAATTTACGGATCTCCTTGAGAGCGCGCGGTGCCCGCTTCTTGAAGCCCCTAGGACAAACACAAGAGCCATTTCTTCAACTTCAGGCCACTGTCAGCATTCAGTGTTGCACACTGCAGCATGAAAGCGCTGGCGCTCTCTAAACATACAACCTAAAGAATTGTTTTCAACAGCAGATAAACAGCTGCAATCACAGCATGACTACACTGGTACCCTGGCAGGCAGCTGCTAACCTTGTGCCCAACAGAAACCTCGTATACTTAAGTAGAATAATTTCTGTAAAATTTTGCAACCCCAAGATCTCCTGAATCTTAATCCTTCAGTTTTAATGTCAGCATGTTCGAATACCGCAGCATTACTGAAGAGATCAGAGGTTTCACAGACACTGAATAAAAGGCCTATGAGAAAAGCAGTGCAACAATAGTAATACAAACTTGACAGAGCTGTAATAGTATTAAAAAAAACTGCAGAAGAGAAAAACTGACATTATTCTGAATAACAGCTTCTGCTATACAGTACTCATGCTAGCAGGACTGCACCAGTACCACCATCAGAACTGGGTTTTTTTACCAGTACAGCTTCCCTCATGCCCATTATGGATAGATCCTGCAGGACAGGGCATTCCCAATACAACTCAGAGCGGCACCGTGTTTTGCCATATAAATTATACCCAGACTGTAACATGGAACTGTATCAGTAGTGCCTGACGTCCCACAGTGGGTTACATTTAATATTATTTGCACACTGCTGTTGATATTTAGTGATAGAAATGGGAAGTGGGTGCATGATTACAAGTGAGACAAGCAATAAACAAAAAGCATTGCAGACCCAGCACACACCATGCACAGAAAGTGGATAACCCAAAAAGAAAAGTGGATAGCAGGATCATCAGCCTTAAAACAGAGTGAATTGCCAATCAACAGGCAAGGCCAGAGCATCTTACTGCCATTTAAACAATACCACTGCCTCCCCTTCTCACCCATGGTTTTACAATACTTCAGTGCCTCATTTCTCTCCAAGTTAACTTCAGCCATTTCCCCAATCATTTTGATTGAGATTGTGTCTTCCACATGACTGCAGCCACACGCAGGGTGCCAGGGTGATGCCGTTTCCTCTCAAGCACTTCACTACTCCAGTTTTATGAGGTTCAGCATTTTGCCAGGTAAAATCTCATCTACACATCACAAATTTCCTTTAACTCAAATCATATCCCAATTTACACCTCACATGACTTCATGACAAGCACAATGCCAATTATTTGACTACAGCAACATAGAATTTCTAAAACTTCACCAGTGGACTACGCTTTAAACATTTGCCTGGGAAAGAATGACAACCTGTGCACAGATGGAAACAGATCTCACTTCAAATTCAAGTCCTGGAATGCTCACCATCACAGAAACATGCCTGTTCCTGAAAGCCACATATAAAGTGTGGTTTATATAAAGCTCTGTACTACACAGGTACAGAGCTACTTCTTGGCGACACATCCGAGGCACAAGAGACCACAAACAACACGCAGTGAGGACAGTCCTCCTCTGTCCTTTAAAACCTATCGAAGCCGCTTTCAAATGCCACTTAACATAAGGGATAACAACAACTTACACGCCATGGATCCGCTTGTGAATGTTGATTGTGTATTCCCTCGTTACCACCTCGTTGATGGCAGAGCGCCCCTTCTTCTTCTCACCGCCTTTCTTTGCAGGAGCCATCTGAGCAACGCTGAAAAACATCCGTACACGCGTCAAACCAACCTCCCTCGGGACTTTTCCCATCCCCTTCCCTTCCGTCCTCCCCAGACCCTTACAAACCACACAACTCCCACATTCGGAACTTTAGCCTAAACCTAATTGACCCCCGGCATCGCACCAGTCGCAGGCTACACGCAGCAGCTTTCCAGCATCACAAACGCTTTACTTCCATCTGCCCAAGAGGCGCAGGAAGCACATCCGACACTCCGACTACCTCACACAAAGAGCGGGCTCCCGGCAAGCCCCAAGCGCTCCTACGATGGCCCCGTCCTGATTCCCTGTGTCCAAACCCCTCTTTCCTCCAGGCGACCCGGCAGGGCGGCTCAGCCCGGCCCGGAATGAACATGCCGGTGCCTAAGCGGCTCCTTCCCGGGGCTGACAGCACGGGCCGTATTCACCTCCCATCTGTCCTGCAGGCCTGCCCGGGCCTGGGAGGCGGGGAGGGGGGGGGGGGGGGCCGGACACGGGCCCCGTTCCCGCCGAACGCGGGCCTGCCGGGAGCTCCCCCTCGGTGCCCCCCGCCCCGGGCCGCCCCCCGCGCCGGGCTGGTCCAGGGAACCCCCGCGCCGCGGGGTCTGCGGGGAGGATGGAGGCGGATTCGGCGGGACGGGCACCCCCCCAGCACTCACCCTGCCCGGGCACAGGCCGGAAAGGAGCGCGCGAGGCACTCCGGGAAACAGGAGCCCTTCCGGGACGAGGGTGGGAACAACTGCGCCGGCGCCGGGAGCGGCTCGGCAGGCGGGGCTGGTTTGAGGGGGGCAGAGGCTGTGTGTGCCGGTACCGGGGGTGTTCGGTGGGGTGGTGTGTCTGTGTGTGTGGGTACAGGCGATGTTCAGTGGAGTGATGTGTCTGTGTGTGCCGGTACCGGGGGTGTTCGGTGGGGTGGTGTGTCTCTGTGTGTGGGTACAGGCGATGTTCAGTCTGTGTGCCGGGACCGGCGGTGTTCGGTGCCCGCCCCCTCTTCAGCCTTTCTCTTAGGAGCTGTGTGGTGGGCTCAGCTTGGCGCAGTTGTGCTCCCAGCAAGCGTTTTGCCCCCTTCAGATCTGTAGCTCCCGCTCCCGAGGCAGAAGCGAGGCAGACCGGCGTGGGGCAGTGGCCTGCTGCAACCACCCCGCCTGGCCACCTGCCCGCAAAACCGGCCCAAACTGAGGGACTGTGTTGGAACAAGCTGTATCTCGGCTGTAATGAGTTAGAACAACAGCCCAGCTCTGTGAAGAGGACTAGCATTGCCTCGTGTGTGCAACAGGGAACAAGTGTAATAATCCTAAACCAGAATGTTTGTACAGGGAAGAAATGAGACAGAGCGTGAAAAAGTAGGTCTTGACAAAAATCTGCTCTTGCAAGCACTCTGTATCCTTCTTGACAATGTAATAAACCAACTTAAGGCAACCCCACTCTATTTGCAGCTTGTCTCTGTTAACAGCTTACAGTGCTGCTGGTTTTAGAAAGTTTTAGAAACCAAGCTGAGCTTGGTTTAGACATACCACTGGCAACTGGGAGACATGTGGGTGTATTATCTCTAAGAGTAAAACAAATTCTGAAAGGAATTTTCCCTTTCTGGGACTTCTGTCATAGTGGTTGAGATCCATCAACTGCTGCTTTCACATGTTTTTCCTCCGAGGTACTCATGTTCCTTTGTTACCTCTTCCTACATGAATTTAGAGATTTCTCCTCCCCTTTCCCAGGATAAGGCCTTACAGGAGCGGCTGTAATTTATGAAGTTAGCTTCTAACTTAGCCAACTGGCCTTCACTTAGGTTTGTCTACAGTTTCACTTAGGTTTGTCTACAATTTATGGAAAGAGGGAAATTCCTTCAGACAATCAGTGAAACCTCTGGATTTAGCTTTCTAATCTTCATCTGGTGGGGTCACTCTTGCTTCACTGAAGACAAGAATTTAAAGAGATGAGTCAGCTAACTCACACTGGTACCTAAAGGTTGCAGTAAAACCACTTTCTTACAGACCAGATCTATTAGCTAAACACTTTATAGGGACCAGACTTGAGTCCCTCATCTTCTTTCAGTGAAATGAACCAGCAGAATTGTATGGACTGAAATACATTATGTGCTGATCAGTGCTACCACCCAGTTTTGCTGTCAAAACAACAACGTCCTTTTGCCAGTGGATTTTCTTCAGGAGATTTTTAACTCTTTCAGAACTCAGGGCAAATGCACTTTCTCGTTTCTCAAAAAGTTCACTTTCACTGTTTCCAGCTCCCAGTCCGATTACCTCCATTGCTCCTCTATGGCATAGAAACCAGAACACGCTGGGCTCTGGTGATGTGATCCCTGGTACTGAAGGGTGGGAAGGGCATGCTAATACTGGCTCCAGTGGCTGCAAGCTGCCCTGAGGGCCATCCCCTTTCGGTCCTGCTGTGGTGAACAAAGACATTACCATGCTTAGTTATCCGCCTCAGTCTGTGTTGGAGGCTGCCGCTCCTGCAGCAGTCAGCAGAGGGAAAGCAGACTTGTACCCTGTCTGCTCCCTCCTGAAGTCAATTTGATTTTAGCATGAGAAAGAGTCTGCACAAGGATGCTAAAGTGGAAACCAGACTGTCTACAGTGTGAGCATTCCAGAAGAGATGAGTCACAAAACTCAGGACAGCAACATCTTAAAACACTAAAGCTGGACATGATTCAAAGCCCTTGTGTGTGCTGGGTCAAACTGTTCTTTAAACCATCAGTTTTGTCCCAATATAAAACTGTTTCATTGGAAGTACTGAGCGGAGGTCTTTCAAGTTTTAAAGGTTCTTAAAATGAACTGTCTTCCCAACAGCTAATATGACTTCCTGAGCTATCATTTTCAGAGTCTATGCCATGACAAAAATCCCACAGGATAATACTTGTTTTTGCTAACCATGTGCCAAACACCATGCAAGGCTACGGCTAAGATAAAAAGTCTAAAGTGAATCACATAGTTGAACAGTCACAGGAAAATGTGTGCAAGTCCTGCAATAAAGCCTTTTGACTATTTTATTTTATTCTACAAATAAGACAACTGTTCATCATTAAATGGAAAAAAATAATAGTTTGAGTTGTATATAGCATGAAACAGTAGTTCCCTTCACAAAAACATTTCTAATTCATTAGTTTATTACAAAATACCCACTCACAAAAAAGCACAAGCACAATCTTTATACTTGTGAAATGAGTTGATATTTCATATACAAAATAATTTCCACATAATTCCATATAATTTTATTTTATATAGAAATAGTTCATTATTACAACAGCTGTACAATACACTACTTTTTATTTAATAATTACATAAAATCTTTCTTAGAAACATATCAACGGAAAACATACAAAAAAAGCGAAAAGTGCATTTCTTTTTTTTTTTTCCTCCAAAGGAAAATTTAATCCTAAATGTTATAATGAAAGAGATATGTAATAGTCTGCAGCATCCCGAGTCACTGGGCCAAAACACAGTGCATATTTTCTCAGAGACTTGGAGTGGGCGAGTTAGGTTGAAGAAGGATTCACGTTGTACTACTGGAAAGTTGCATGATTGTGCTTACAATTTGAGTTCTCCTTCCTTTGCAATCACAATTCACGTAGAAAACAGAGTCCAGAGTGGCTTGTGGGTTTGTTTTTTTGGTTGGTTGTTTCATAATGAATAACAGTTAGGGTAAGCTGCATAATACTTTTCAGATCCTAAATCAAGGGTTATGAGCTGTAGACCATCTTCACCAATGGCTGGGCTTCCTCCTCCATTGGATGTGCTAATTTGGCCACAAGAATAAAGAAACAAACTTCTCTTTACAGAAAGTGCCTAGGTTTTGTCCTCTGTGCAGTTGTGCAAAATAATAACAATAATCATAACAAAAATAATCTCTTGTTCTCTCCTCAATAGACCTTTGACGCAGTGCTTTTCATACACAAAAGAAGAACTGAAACAGTGAAGGCCAAATACCTCATGAGTCTGTCAACAGTCTTTTGGAATTGCCAGATAGCTTTTGGAATGACACGCCAAGATTGAACGCCTTCTCCCGTGCACTCACTGGTGATGGCGGCTGCACAGGGTAGTTGTTCCTCTTTGTTTTGCTCTGTCAGTACATACTGTGCTCACGAGACAGTGCAAACTGAATCCAGCGTGCTGTAAATACTCTGTCTGTTGCAGTCTGCACTCTGTGGCGTACTTCTGTCACCGGGCTTTGAAAGAAATGCTTGTGCAAAAGCCAGAACAGTAAGTACAGAGTCATTCTCTTCTGCCCCATGTGCCCATTGGTTAAAGCTAATCGTGCATTGATTGTGCTGGTGGGACTCTATCGCAGTGGCTGTGGTAGATTCGACGATTCTGATAAGCTATTCCTTCTTCTTGATGTTAGTTGTTGCTGTTGCTGCTGCTGCTGCTGTGTCTGGTGATACCCCATATTTCCTTGCTGTGGTGAGTAAGATGGCAGGAGCAAAGAATCGGGCTGTTCATTGTGCAAAGAACTTGGTGTTTGCACCTACAGATAAAATAAAATTTATTGTGGTGTTCAATTCTTTCCCACGTTTAAAGCTCTTCGTCCTCAATGAACAGGATGCTTACAAATACTACTAGGGTGTTGGCTTTAACTTCTGGAGCTGTTTGGCATGAGGTTAGCTTAACTAATGCTAGAAGGAATGGACACAGATTGCAACAAACAACATTCTAATTAGGCACTGAGAAAGGTTTTCTCTTAGGATTGCACTGCCTGGGATTTGCAGGTTATTCTGAAAAGCCTGTTTAGGGGTGGGGTGGGAGAACATGTCAGAAATGACATGGATGACAGAAAGGACAAAAAAATGAAACAGGGATCCCAATGTGCTTCATGCTGTCCCTTCTAGCCCTTCCTTTTTGTGAGTTTAGAGTAGGGTGTGACCTTGCAGTGGTGAAGTAGATGTGAATTTTGCAGATGCTTTTATTGGAAACAGTATCTGTCATACTTTTTTTTCATTGATTCTCAACTATGATAAGGATTTAATTTCAATAACAAGAGCTTAATCATTTGAGGTTGGTGCTACTCTTTCAATGATGCCAGTGGATACGTGAGCAGGTTTTATAGACTCAGTTCAGCGCCTGTTAACAGACACCTCATTTCCTCCCTTCCCCTTCACTGTAGTATGTGTTGAATTGGGTCAAAAAATAAGTATTTTTACATCTTCAAATCACCTGGTTCTTCCAGGCAATGTGCTCCACTTTATCTTCTTTGCCTTGTGGAGCTGAGAAAATATGTTAATTTACTGAAGGGATCCAGATATCTGATCCAGATCTCATTTTATGTTGATGCTGGTAATTAAAAATCATCTTTTGACTTGTAAAATAAGCAAATTTTATACTGAATAAAGAGTACAGAATAAATCCTAAGGCAGCAATTTTCTCCAGCTAGAAATAAACTTTAAATATATCCAGGATAATCTGATTATGCTTCCAATGTACAGAATTAGTAATTTCCTTTTAAATATTCTGACTCTTCTTGCTGCTCCCTTGCTATATTGCTAAATGACACTACATCAGGGTCTCATACATGCTGGTACCTCTAAAATGGACACTTCTGCCAGGATCATGCTCCAGTAGACATCTGGAGCCCCGTTTGCACAGCCCATTCACCGTATTACTCTGCATATACATTTTATACATCATCCTCTTGGTCCTACCTGCAGGTAGCGCTGTTGCTGATGCTGTTGGTGCTGGAGTTGCATAGGTGGCAGAGAAGATGGCTGGGAAGGAGGTGTAGGGGTGAACCCTTGGTTTAACACTGCTTGTCCCATCAGTACGATTGGAGAGCTGCTGCTGGAA